CAATTATGTTGAGGTCAGGAGATTGTGAAGGCCATGGCAAAACCTTCAGTTTACGCCTCTTGATGTAATCCCCCGTGGATTTCGAGGTGTGTTTAGGATCATTATCCATTTGTAGAAGCCATCCTCTCTTTAACTTCAGCTTTTTCACAGATGGCATCAAGTTACCATCCATAATTTGCTGAAATTTTATTGAATCCATTTTTCCTTCTACTCGTGAGATGTTTCCTGTGCCACTGGCTGCAACACAACCCCAAAGCATGATTGATCCAACCCCATGCTTAACAGTTGGACAGAGGTTCTTTTCATTAAATTCTGTGCCCCTTCTTCTCCAAACGTACCTTTGCTCATTCCGGCCAAAAAGTTCAATTTTAACCTCATCGGTCCACAGAACTTGTTTCCAAAATGCATCAGGCTTGTCTATATGTTCATTTGCAAAGTTCAAACGATGATTTTTGTGGTGAAGACGTAGAAGAGGTTTTCTTCTGATGACTCTTCCATGAAGACCATATTTGTACAAGTATCTCTTTATAGTGGAATAGTGTACCACAACTCCAGTGTCTGCCAGATCTTTCTGGAGGGATCGTGCAGTCAAACGTGGGTTTTGAATTGTTTTTCTCACAATCCTGCGATCTGTTCTGTCTGATATTTTTCTTGGTCTTCCAGATCTTGCTTTAACTTCCACTGTTCCTGATGACTGCCATTTCTTAATTACATTCCGAACAGAGGATATTGACATCTGAAAACGCTTTGCTATCTTATATAGCCTTCTCCAGCTTTGTGAGCGTCAACTATTTTCAGTTTCAGTTTTCTAGACAACTGCTTAGAAGAACCCATGGTGCTGATTGTTGGGGCAAGGTCAGATGAGTCTGGGCATTTAAAACCTTTGAGATTGACATAACCTGGTCTTCCCAGACGATAATTGAGAACAATCCATGACACTGGCAGGTCTCAGCTTGGCAAAGGGGGCAGTGCATGCTATAAACTCTGCAGGGTGCCCAAACTTTTGCAGACGCCATTTTTTTTGTTTTCTGTTATTTTGAAAGTGTAAATGATGGAAATAAAATCTAACTTTTGTTGACATATTATAAGAATGTCTAATCTGTAATTTGATGCCTTTTGGAGATTTTTCCATCTTTCCTTGGCTTCTTTATGCACATTAATACAAATTTTTAGCGGGGTGCCCAAACTTTCGATCCCCACTGTAGGTGCATGATCAGAAATAGTTTTTACCCCAATATCCTCCTTTTCTAAAATGCGCAAAGCCCTCTGGGTGATAAACAGATAATCAATTCTGGAGTACGTTTTGTGTACTGCTGAGTAAAATGTATATTCTCGGTCAGAGGGGCGTACAGTCCGCCAAGAGTTATCAATGTCAGAGATCCAAGTAAGGTTTTTAATTGCTTCACTATCTTAAAAGAGATTGAAGATTTTCCATTGGAGGTATCCTGGAGTGGGTCTAAATCACCACCCAAAAGTATACAACCAGAAGCAAATCCCGTAAGCTCACCTATTATTTTACGGCAAAACATCACATATGCTTTGTTAGGAAAATAAACGTTTGCTAATGTTATCTGAACACCATGGCATTTCCCTTTGAGAAAGAGATATCTGCCATTTGTATCTGCTAAATGCTGAATGCATTCAAATCCTGAATCTCAAATGCCAGCCAAAGACCTATTCGCACATTAAAATCTGGTCATAGACCCAGCAGGCATGATCTGTATAACCCACAGTCAGGGTGCTTGCATAGGGAGTGCAAAGATGGCTGCTGTCAGTGCGGAATTGCGTCACCACACTCTAGTCCAACATGTTTCGTCACGATAACACATGACTTCTCCAGAGATTTTAATGTGTGAGTAGGTCTTTGGCATTTGTGTATGGTATAATAAACTTTACTCTATTACACTATGGTGGCTTTTTCTCTGATTCCCTGTTTATGAGCCATTGGGAGAGCGGAGGAGTTTTTGTAAAGGTGCCTTACCATTGTAATGGTGGATTAACCGTGGGCTGTGTGGAAGCTGATCCTGTGTCCATCCAGAGAGTGAGATTCATCCCACCTGGAACTATACTGGTGATTTGTTATGCCTTATGACTCCTTGGGGGTCAAATATTGGATGTAAGCGTGCACGCTAGACGGTGACAGATGGTCTGATGCACTTGGGCGCGTATTAATTTTCACGGTTGAAAATTGATTCATCACAGTTATACGTTTGGGACTTTGTGTTATATGATTTATGAATAGTGTTCATTTATGATCACATGTATTTATATTTGGTTAATATTTGTTTCACTTAAAACACCTATCACTTATATTTAGTCACACTATTGATGGCATGTTTTTGGAATACACATTAGGTGCACCACTGTACACCTATATATTTATTTATACAATTTATGCATTCACACATTTAAATATTGAGTACTTTATTTAATATTTTATTTTTATGTCAATTATCACATGGTATTAGCGCTACACAACCATATCTACTTATGTTTCATCTATTCTAGTCTAGTTAGGTGTCAGCAGCTTCTTCGTTTTTATAGCTTTGGCAGCTCATGAGTCCATCCCCCTTTATATAGTGTTTGTTAAGTCTTCCTTTCTTCAATGGTGGTTTAGTTGGTGTAGATAGTGGTGTTTCAGGTGGACTGTGGGCTAAGGGTGGATCTCTAAATTCTTGATACTATTCCGGTAAGTCAATATAAGGCAGGTGCAGATTGGTGCAAAAGACTTGTAACTCGTCAGGTGTGCATAGGTAATATTATTGTTTCACATGATACATGGCACTGAGAGCAAAGGGAAAGCACCATTTATATGGAATTCTATTACTGCAAAGTAACTCCAGAAGAGGACGTAAAGCTCTTCTGTTATTTAGGGTAATGGGTGAGAGGTCCTGGAACAAGGTCACCGTATGTTCATTAAAAGTAATCAAGTCATTTTGATGAGCTTTGGTTAAGATCTTCTCTTTTAATATATTTAATTTGTAAGGCAACAGATAATATCCCTTGGGGTGCAGAATCAACCGGGCAAGCTCTCAGAGCCTTGTGAGTTCTATCAAACGAGACATGTGTGTCTGCCAGCCTGTCTAGGAGATTATTGAAAATCGACCATAGGGCCAACTCCATTTGATCAGATGTTATTGCCTTCGGGACCCCCCTGACCCTAATGTTTTGTCTCCTTCCCTTGTTATCAAGGTTCTCTAAGTGGCGATTGATCATGATTAGATGATCAGAATGAGAGTCAGTCACTTTCTCCAGCCTAGCAATGGCCTTGTCCCTTCTTGTCCAGCTCTTTCCGCACCCGCCATCTTCTGTGACAGAGCCAACATATCTGTCTTCTGCCTCGTTATAGTCGGAGAGCATTAGAGGGTGTTCAGGGGTGTCTGTGTCTCTTACCACATCCTCCGGGGTGGACTGGGATTCCTCACTGTGGTTTTCTTCTTTCGGATCCAGCGCCATTTTGTCCAAGGCCTCGGCATGCCTCAATATCGGCTGAGATTTAAACATGTTGGGGATGCTACGAGCATTGGAGGTAGTGGAGGATTGGTGAGGACAAGAGCCAGAGTGGTATCGGGTGAGTTTGCCCATCGTCCACTGGACTGAACCCGTGATGTAAAGCTGGAGATTGCACGGAGCTCCTCTAGTGTGCATTCATCCACGCTCCACACCAAGCCATGCCCCCTCTGGATTTTTTCTACACCTCCATCTTAACGTTTGACTATTTTTGAGAATAAATTAGCTATATCTCTGGACAGAGGAATTATTGTTCACCCACTCAGCCGGCTCTGACATTCATTCTGGCCCTACGAGAAGTGGCATCCATGGAAATGGATGACTCGCGCATGAGAAGCGTCAGGACAAGTATAGGAGGCAATCTTGTTTCGCCATCTTATCACTACTAAAGAGGCCTGGTAAATGAGGTACCAGAATCTCTCCACTAAGTCAAAGCACACTGTCAGGGCTCCCGGGTATGACCAGAGGTGTGTGACTGACGCAGGGAAACGCAGACTTCAGATATGTTATAAACAATGTAATTTATTAACACTAACCATACAAACATAAACGCAGTGCAATACTAAAACATAACACAGTGCAAACAAACCAAACCAACCACCCACAGATAACAGTACATACAATGCAAGCGTCGTCAGGCAGGCCGGGTCAATATCAGTCGGGCAGGTAGGTACAGGGGGAGCAAGCAGAGATGGTCGGGGTAACAGGCCAGGTTCAGCAGGTAGCGGGCAGCGTGGTACAGAGGGTCAGGCAGAGGAGAATGGTCAGACAAGCCAGGGATCAGAGCAGGGTCAGCAGAGAATCAGACAGGAACAGAGAGCAGGAACAGGATACAGGGCCCAAGAGAAACCCAACACCAAGGCCGAGTCTGCAGGTCTGAATGTCCCTTAAATAAACCAGTATAATTAGTTCCAGGTGTTTGACTGGCTGCAAGGTTGAGTCTCTGATTGCTGGGAGCACCCGCTGGGACAGCCCTGGTACTGCAGCTCATAAGGCAGCTGAGTCCCACTATTGCTGGCCAGTCCATTCCTGACAGTACCCCCCCTCAAGGAGCGGCCTCAGGACGCTCCAAACAGTCCTAGCTGGGCAAAATGTTCCACCGCCCGGGTCTGGTAACTGGCGGGATATCAAAGACTGGCACACTGGGCAGGACTCCGGGCAGCGGCACACCGGGCAGAGGCACATCGGGCTGGACTCCGGGCAGAGGCACATCGGGCTGGACTCCGGGCAGAGGCACTTCGGGCTGGACTCCGGGCAGAGGCACATCGGGCTGGACTCCGGGCAGAGGCACATCGGGCTGGACTCCGGGCAGAGGCACATCGGGCTGGACTCCGGGCAGAGGCACATCGGGCTGGACTCCGGGCAGAGGCACACGGGCTGGACTCCGGGCAGAGGCACACCGGGCAGAGGCACACCGGGCTGGACTCTGGGCAGAGGCACATCGGGCAGGACTCCGGGCAGAGGCACATCGGATTACCAGGCGAAGCAGCAGGCAGCGGGCCACCAGGCGGAGCAGCAGGCACCGGGCCCCCAGGTGGGGCAGCAGGCACCGGGCCCCCAGGTGGAGCAGCAGGCAGCAGCGGGCCCCCGGGCGGAGCAGCAGGCACCGGGCCCCCGGGCAGAGCAGCAGGCACCGGGCCCCCGGGCAGAGCAGCAGGCACCGGGCCCCCAGGCGGGGCAACAGGCATCGGGCCCCCGGGCGGGGCGACCGGCATCGGGTCCCCAGGCGGGGCACACCGGGCTGGACTCAGGGCAGAGGCACATCGGGCAGGCTCCGGGCAGAGGCACATCGGGCAGGACTCCGGGCAGAGGCACATCGGATTACCAGGCGAAGCAGCAGGCAGCGGGCCACCAGGCGGAGCAGCAGGCACCGGGCCCCCAGGCAGGGCAGCAGGCACCGGGCCCCCAGGCGGAGCAGCAGGCAGCGGCCCCCAGGCGGAGCAGCAGGCAGCGGGCCCCTGGGCAGAGCAGCAGGCACCGGGCCCCCGGGTGGGGCAACAGGCATCGGGCCCCCGGGCGGGGCGACCGGCATTGTGTCCCCAGGCGGGGCGACCGGCATCGGCCCCCAGGCGGAGCGGCGGGCGCCGGGCCCCCAGGAGGGGCGACAGGCATCGGGCCCCCAGGTGGGGCAACAGGCATTGGGCCCCCAGGCGGGGGCGGGGGCGCCGGACCCCCATGCGGAGCGACAGGTCTCGGGCCCCCAGGCGAAGCGGCGGGCACCGCGTCATCTGGCAAGGCAGTGGGCTCCGAGTCAACAGGCACGACAGTGGGCACCGGGTCATCAGGTACCGGATTGTCTGGCTCGACAGCGGGCATCGGGTCACCAGGCATCAAGTCATTTGGCTCGACAGCGAGCACCGCGTCATCTGGCAAGGCAGTGGGCTCCGAGTCAACTGGCATGACCGAGGGCACTGGGGCAGACATTGAATCGTCTGGCTGGACAGCGGGCATCGGGTCACCAGGCATCAAGTCATTTGGCTCGACAGCGAGCACCGCGTCATCTGGCAAGGCAGTGGGCTCTGAGTCAACTGGCATGACCGCGGGCACTGGGGCAGACATTGAATCGTCTGGCTGGACAGCGGGCATCGGGTCACCAGGTATGACAGCGGGCACTGGGTCACCAAGCATCAGGTCATTTGGCTTGCCAGCGGGCACCGCGTCATCTGGCAAGGCAGTGGGCACCGGGTCACCAGGCATTGGATCGTCTGGCTCGACAGCGGGCATCGGGTCACCAGGTATGACAGCGGGCACTGGGTCACCAGGCATCAGGTCATTTGGCTTGCCAGCGGGCACCGCGTCATCTGGCAAGGCAGTGGGCACCGGGTCACCAGGCATTGGATCGTCTGGCTCGACAGCGGGCTTCGGGTCACCAGGTATGACAGCGGGCACTGGGTCAATTGGCACGACAGCGGGCACCGGATCAGGTACCGGATCATCTGGATCAACAGCGGGCATCGAGTCAACTGGCCTAATAGGATCGTCAGGCTGGATCAGTTCATCACGCTGGGTAGAGGCATCAGGCTGAATGCCGGCGTCCGGCTGAGTAGAAGCTTCAGGCTGAGTAGAGGCTTCAGGCTGAATAGAGGCTTCAGGCCGAGTAGAGGCTTCAGGCCGAGTAGAGGCATCAGGCCGAATAGATGCTTCAGGCCGAGTAGAGGCATCAGTCTGAAGAGAGGCATCAGGCTGCGTACAGGCATCAGGCCGAGTAGAGGCATCAGGCTGAGTACAGGCATCAGGCTGAGTACAGGCATCAGGCTGAGTACAGGCATCAGGCTGAGTAGAGGATTCAGGCTGAGTAGAGGCTTCAGGCTGAACCACGGAAGGCAGGTTCACCGGTTTGGATACTGGCAGGATGGTATTGGTTGGAAAGAATTTTCGCTTTTTTCTGGTTTTAACTACTGGAGCACTGCAAGTAAACGCAGGTCTGCAAACGAATGGAGCAGCTGGAGACAGAGAAGAGCTGGAGGATGGAACAGGGGAGGGAACAGTTGCTACTGAGGGCTTTTTTACAGGGTTAAAGGCAGGATAGGTGCAGCGAGTGGGAACAGGGGACTGACATGCGGTAGATAGCAGGGGCAGGAGGAGCTGTTGGGAATGCAGGAATAGAGTTTTGAGGAAATAGATTAGAAGCAGGACTGGTTTTTTGTAAGCTGACTGAGGCTGGGTGCAACAAGTCTGTCCATGTCTGCAGTATGGGTGGAACAAAGCTGAGCTTACACAAAGCCTGTCTGACCAAAGACTGCACTGCGTTTATACAATCTCTTAGTGTCTGTGGTGAACATGTAGAATAACGCTCCAGAAAGTAACCCATATCATCCTCTAATAACCACACCAGGGACTCTACCTGGTCTGCACTAAATGGTGGCAAAAAATTCATCCCTGCATTCGGGGGTACCAGATGAAACCAACTCAGCACAAACCTCAATCAAAGGCTGCACCTCAGAGAATTCTGTGCCCTGATCTACTAGAACATGAGCGAGCCGTATACATTTTAGCAGTTCATCCCGGGTATACTCCTTCAGAGTTTGATAAGCATACTCCCTGTCATCAAACACTAGCAGATATAAATACACAACCTCATCAAGATCCATCCTTCCCATCAACAAGCCAAGATGGCTTCCCTGTGCAGCCACTTCTGGTCAGGATTGGCCTTGGTGTAATGTCAGGGCTCCCGGGTATGACCAGAGGTGTGTGACTGACGCAGGGAAACGCAGACCTCAGATATGTTATAAACAATGTAATTTATTAACACTAACCATACAAACATAAACGCAGTGCAATACTAAAACATAACACAGTGCAAACAAACCAAACCAACCACCCACAGATAACAGTACATACAATGCAAGCGTCGTCAGGCAGGCCGGGTCAATATCAGTCGGGCAGGTAGGTACAGGGGGAGCAAGCGGAGAATGGTCGGGGTCACAGGCCAGGTTCAGCAGGTAGCAGGGCAGCGTGGTACAGAGGGTCAGGCAGAGGAGAATGGTCAGACAAGCCAGGGATCAGAGCAGGGTCAGCAGAGAATCAGACAGGAACAGAGAGCAGGAACAGGATACAGGGCCCAAGAGAAACACAACACCAAGGCCGAGTCTGCAGGTCTGAATGTCCCTTAAATACACCAGTATAATTAGTTCCAGGTGTTTGACTGGCTGCAAGGTTGAGTCTCTGATTGCTGGGAGCACCCGCTGGCCAGCCCTGGTACTGCAGCTCATAAGGCAGCTGAGTCCCACTATTGCTGGCCAGTCCATTCCTGACACACACAGGACAGCAATACTAAACACATTTTAAGCAGACTTTTTAGTAGCTTTGCTAGCAATGGAGCTCTAGCACAATATCATAATTTAACCAGTGGGTCTGCATCTTCTTAACAGGATAGCAGTAGACCATAGGCTGGCATTAGCAATATCATTGTAATGATCACTTTACAATTTTATCTAGCTAAATGATTACATGTTAGACTTTGATGGACCATAATAACAATGCTGCTCAGTCACGTGATGAGTGCAATCAATCTTTGCTTTCTCTGTCTTTGATTGCTACATTTTTTAAATCAGATAATGCTGAAATGTCTGAACATTTAACTGATAGTGCAGGAGCAGTGGTTTTGCCTGATGCTCATGCTTATTTACCTGTCTCTGATTCTTTTGTTTCTAATACTGTGTCAAGTACTTTTTGTTATTCTTGAAAATTATCTTCAGGAAGCCATGATTTGTGAATTATCGCCTTTAGGGATACATCGTTCCATGGTGATTAGGGAAATAATATTTAGAAGAGAATATGTTTTCTTCTTTGAAATGAGATTCCATGTGGGGATCTCAAGGAGATTAAAGCTTTTAAAAGAAGTGAAATATCTGTTAGTGTAGTAGACATCAGAAAGGTTCAGACACAAAAATCAACACATCCCCTACCTGTTTGCAAATATTTTATTGAGAAGCATTACAATAATAATTATTTATGGTTCTCAATAAAGTTGAAGCGAGGGAGCAGTTGCTCAGTATTCCAAAATGGAGGGAAGTTTGTTAAGTTAATAAATTAGCCTGTCTGCACCCAATCAAGTTAAATAGAGATTCCAATTTATATTTGTTTTTGGGAACTCCCAGAGAGCAATGTTTTAAAAGTATATGCACTTTCGTTTCCGGTGACACATGGAGAGGAGGTGAAGGCACACGCTCCCGCCACCCTCCTCCACTGCCCTAGAACCCTGCTGCAGACCGGGGGTTCACCTCCCCTCCACACCCGCTCCCATAGGGAAACCCAATGGACCACTTCGTAGACCGGTCATATGCTCTCTCCACCTCTTCCCCTCTTTTGTCACAAGGGGACACAGTGGCAGCTGCAGCCAAGATGGTGGCTGCTACTCCAGCACACACTGACACAGGGGACCAGAATCTCAGTGCACAATCACAACTCTCTCCTTCTCAGCCTCTGAACATTGCCTCCCCAGAGGGCATAGACCAGGCAGTTATGGCACTCCTCACTCCTACTCTTACAGCAGCTGTGGATGTAGTTCTTAAAGGCTTAGAACAGCTCCACAAAGGACTCCATGTTCAGGCCCAGTGCATTACTCAGGTGGAAGAACAAATCTCCTCCATTGAAGATGACTCTATGGCGGTATCAGCTGTGGTGGCCAGACTTGCGTCTGTTCAAAGGGAGTTACAAGAAAAGGTAGACGATCTTGAAAACAGCTCACGGCGCAGCAACCTGCGCATTATATCCTGAAACATATACTCCCTCTATGCTTGTTACTATTTGTGCAAGGTCTGTCCCAGAATAACTAGGTCTGCCTTATCCATGTGCAGTCAAGCGAGCTCACCGCTTTGGCCCACCATCTGATTCTCACCCCAAGCCTAGGCCGGTGATAGTCCGCTACTTGAACTATGCTGACAAGCAAGCCATCCTTCAAAAATTCAGGCAGATGTACACATTAGCTGTCGACGAAAACCAACTACACCTGTTTGTGGACTATTCCTTAGAGGTTATGCACCAACGCAAGGCCTTCTTGGGGATTTGCTCTGCTCTCTACCACAAACATATCAAATTTACTCTGGCATATCCCGTTGTCCTCCATATCCAACCACTGGAGGATGGTCTTTATTTCACCTCACCTTCCGAAGTGGACAACACCCCTGAAACAGTGATGGATCAAGAGGCACATTCTACACCATCTTCCTTCTCCCCCCCCAGGGGAAAAGCCACTCCCTTCCAAAACCAACCAAGCCCCCAAAAACCACCCCACAAATGTGTCCATTTTGGTCGTCCAGAGGACCAGAGGGATGTTAATCGCTGACTTGCCCCCTCAAGACCCAAGCAATGGTTCATCTTGCATCCTGTATGCACCTTCAGAGAGTAGTGCCTATCACCCATGCCCGGTGGTTCATATCTTCTGCTTTTTTTTTCTCTACCCTCAGATGGTATTGTTGCCTGCCTCTCTTACGGCTAATTACTATGTCAGCCTCCTCCCCCTGGTAGGCAAGGAGGGCTTCTTAGCTCCCTTCCCCTTTTGTAACCCCTCAGCCCTCACGTGCTCTCTCTCCTCCTATCTCTCCCCTTTCTATCACATTTCCCCCTTCTTACCCCCCTTTTTTTCTCTCCCTCTCCCTCTCCCCCCCCTCCCCACTCATTCCCTTTTCCCTCCATCCTCCCCTCCCCCCCTCTTTTTTTTTCCTTCCCTCCACCCCACATCAATGTTGATTAAATTCTCAGTAGTGGAGTCTCTAGTGCAGGAGCATTAATGAGGTTGCTTCATGTGGACAAAAAGTGAAGTTTTGGTTTGGGAGTACCTACCTTTTTGTTACAAAGACTCTTCTTTTATTGTCCTGCTCCAATGTTTCTTTATGTTTAATTTCCCTAGGAACTGTATGGTACAATTGGGAACCTGGACTCATTGGGGCAATGCCTGGTGTGACATTGCCCTCCTGCGCTATATTCTAATCCTGTACTGCAAAAGACATCGCTCCATCAGACGATAGGGATCACCTAAAGGTAATCTCTTGGAATGTTAAGGGGCTATGCTCTCCAAACAAACGTATGCAAGTTTTACGACATTTGAAGAGTTTGAGGGCAGATGCAGCTCTCCTCCAGGAGATGAATCTCTCGGCAAACGATCTCTCACAACTGTCGAAGCTCTGGGTGGGCCAGGTATATGGTTCTCTTGCCATAGGTCATAAAGCAGGGGTAGCTATACTGTTACTCAAAAATTTACACCACAATATATGCTTTGTCAACTCTGATTATGAGGGTCACAAACTTACCATCCATCTAACCAACGCCTCTCGTGACATT